CACAGTTTGTCGCCACTCCTCCATCCGACACCCTATGGGAGGAAATAAGGTCTCTGCTAGAAAAAGAAGCCATAGAGCCAGTAGCTTCAGATTCATGGGGACATGGATTTTACTCCCAATACTTGACTGTCCCCAAGAAAGATGGTGGCCTCCAGACAATAATGGACTTAATGGCACTGAACAAATTCATCACCTATCGCAAGTTCTGAATGACAATGCTCCACAGCATCTTACAGCTCCTCAAGGAATGGGTATGGATGACTACAATAGACCTACAGGATGTCTGCTTCCATCTGGACATCAGAACGCAGCACAAGCAATTCCTATGGTTCATGGTGGGTGGAGACCATTACCAGTACAACATTTTCCCCTTCGAACTCTCCACTGCACCAAGGATGCAGCTTACCTCCATCTTCATGGCACTGTCATCTTCCCCTACATAGACAACTGGCTTCTGGTGGCCATTTCCAAAGAACACCTCCTGAGAGACATCACAAGGACCCTGTCAGTACTACAGGATTTAGGCTTATGTGTCAATCACACAAAGTCCAATCTCACTCCATCCAGACAAACACAGTTTATTGGGGCCCTGCTCAAGTCCAGGGCCTGCAAGGCGTTCCTGCCCCTTCAGAGGGCATATGCAATAACTGCCCTGGTCCGCCTGTTGAAAACCCAACCGCACGCTCTTGTGATTTCCATCCAACACCTGCTGAGCTTCATGGTGGCCATGACCGATATACTAGTGTTCACCATGCTCTGGATGAGGACCCTCCAGCTCTGTTTTCCCCGGCACTTCAGTCCCTCCCGTCACTCTCAGTGAATGATTCTTCACCTTTCCCTGCATGTCCTAGCATCCCTGTCCTGGTGACCCAACCTCATTGAAGGAGCCCCATTCCAAGCTCGTTCCCCCTCAGAGACCCTAACTATGAACGCCTCCCTCGGGGAATGGGGTGTTCATCTGAGGGGCATGTGCATAGGAGTGGAATGGGGCATCCATCAGCGACGTCACCGCATCAACTATTTGAAACTCCTGGCTATCAAGTTTACTTTCCATTCCTTCCAACCCGCAGTACAAGGGAAAGTGATGTCAATAATTACAGACAGCACCACTGCCTTGAACTGTATATATCGTCCAGGGGGAATGGTTTCCAGGAAACTTTGTGGACTGGCAGTCGACCTGTGGAGTTGGTGCATTGCATGGGGGATCTTCTAGGTTGCCACTCACCTTCCAGGCGCACAGAACATCCAGGTGGACCTCCTTAGCAGGGGAAGGGTGCTCCTACACAAGTGGGAGTTTAATTGGGTGTAAGAAACAGCCTGAGCTGTGAGTTGGGAAGCCCTTGGCTGAAATGTCACCTGTGCCATACATTCACTAGATGACAGGGTCTCTCTGGCATCTTTCACATTGCCTTAAAAATCCACTTACATTACCCAATGTTAGCGTGTTATTTTGTGTTCAGACAATTTCATAAACATTTCATATCTTCCTCGTTTCTTCCTGTTCCTAATAAAACTGGTTTCTCCCATACTTCCCCCCCCCCCAGTGAAATATATTCCCAACAAAGCCCCTAGTCATAATCTGAAGTACGTTTTTTCACATTGGTGACTTCTGGCACAACCCACCCACCAAAACCCACCCAGAAAGGGCAGGCAGTTTTTTTTTAACTGCATCCTAGTGGAGAAATATTTCAAAGATCAAATGTGCCTGCTTTGAAACAAGCAGTTATTCCAGTTGGGGGCACCTTCCTCCTTGCTCGGCCTTGTGAGTGTGTGTTTGTGTGTGTGTGTGTGAACTCTTCTCTCTGCCTCTCTCTCCAGCCTGAGAAAGCCAGGATCATAGCCCCCCTCTTGCTTTACACAAGAGTAGATATACCTAAGCCAGTAGTGCTACTCTCATGTAAAATCCACCAGATCATCTCCTGACCCTTCGCACCTTTCTCCCCAGTGGGGAAAACCCTTCTTTTTTTGTTACATCCTTTTAATGTTTTCAATTTAAAAATTAAAAACTTGGTCAGGGGCCAAGTGATCGAGCAAATTATCTTTTTTTAAAGCATTTTCTTTTCTTTATTAAAATTTAAACCTTTATTCATAGGAGGTTTTTTTTACAAAATTTAGTTTATCTCATCACAGTGTAATATAAAAGCTATAACAAAAAATAAGCTAAATAAACTGAGAGAAGAAAAAAAATTCAACACAGGACCTAACGGGGCTTTATCCAATAAACTGGCATCTCTGATTGGATCCATCTCAAATTATTTCTTCAGTTTGAATCTTGTAGAGAAATAATTTATAAAACAATGGACTAATTGGGTCTCAATATATTGAAATTTTTAAAAATTTCCAAAATGCAGTTTAGACACACACAAAAATGCAAAACAGGAACAGTTATTAGAGGTACAATTATATACAAATTTCAGCAGTAAAATACTAATTTCTCATCCTTGAAAACAAGGGACCAAAGCTCTCAGAATTACTAGTGTTAGACGGTTACCAACCCAGGAAATTTTACTAAGGATTGGGTGAACCTGAGTTCACATTCTGAGGTCCTGCAGAAGAGATCTTCTGATTAAGACTGTCGTTTTTACTTCAAACAAAAGTTAAAGTATGTCATGGTTTCATATTTTATACAATAAAATATAAAGAATAATTAAATAAGTAAATATTTATCAAAAATCTTGGCCCAATTATCTTGGCAGGAACTTTTGCTTGGTTTGGCCAGGGCTAAGTTGCAGCAGTTTTTCTGTCGTTTGAGTCTTAGCGTCTTTAGAAATAGGTGTTTTATGTCCTGGCTCCACAATTCTCTGTTGTTTTATTGAAATCAAGGTCTTTAAGTAAAATAGTACAGTTTGATTTTGAAGAGCTGGAATCAGATAACCGGGATACTTCTGTTGGAGGATGAGTGACAGCCTGCCAGTTTGTAGATCTGATGGGGGATGAGGTGAGTAAGGGACCGTCCAGAGTTGAAGTTTCCATACATGTCCCACTGCTGGATTCTGAAAGGCTCGGGAATCGATTAGCTGATTCTTGTTTCGCACTAGTTGTGTGGGGGGGGGAATGTTGGTCTCTCTATTAACTGTATGTTAATTGAGGCAAACATGTTTGATGATTCCTTCAAATTAGATGAATTAGTCGTGGATTGCTCTGCCCCCTTCCATAGTGGGCTTTTCTGGATTGTCCCATAGGTGTGTGTTGGAGGAAATCCTTTAGGTCTTTTTTGATCTGATTTGGAAGGCTCTACAAAAGGCACTTTATTTACAGCCCCTGTCAGTAATGGTTTCTTCCATTCCTCTGCAAAGACTCTGACAGGGCTCATATGAAAGAGAGCAAGAAATCTCCTCATTCTCAGCAGTGTAAGAGGGATAGTAGATTGCTTGAATGTTAATAACACTCTCCAATTGAGCAAATTATCTTGTGTTTCAGAGTTGCTGTTTGAGGGCCTACTGTGCTTTACAAAATAGTAAATGGGGCTACTCTCATGTAAGGAAGATAGGTGGAATGGACGGGGCTGTTGAAATGCTGAAACACTTCAGCACATGTGGGGGGGGGGAGAAACACCCCTCCACAACCCCCCCTCCATAGATGGAACTCATGAAGGGAAGTCTATACTGATCCTACCAATACCATCAGATGCACCACAACATGTGCGAAAACGCAAAGGCAGCTGCAGTCTGAAAAACGCCTCTGTCTCTCATCCTCAATCTCCCACCTGCAAAACAAGGATAGTAGAGCTGATTTACCTTACAGGGCTGGTGTAAGAATTGCAAGAAGATCATGTGCTTTGAGTGTGTTGAATGCTTAAAAGTGTCGTGCAAGTGATAAGCATTCTTAGATCAGTATTATTTGGGAACGTGTACTAATACTAGTTCAACCTAAGCAAACAGTTCTAAGTTATTTGCAGTGTGTAGTCCTTAATCAGTGGGGAATACAGCACTACAAAAGGAGGACTAATGTGGGAGGGGAGGTCCCACCTCCACCTCCACCTCCACTGGTGCTAGCTACAGCTTCTCTCCTCCTGTTGACTGCTGCCACCTTCTCCTCCTTGTCGGTGGTCACTTTGTGGCCACCCCCAGTTTCATGCCCCAGCAATCCGAGATGTTTGTTTCTTTATAATGCCTTGGTGTGTGCAAATGTTGCAGGGGGCTGTAGAATTTGTAACTGTGGTAATCTTTCCATTTCCATTTATTAATCGCTCAATCCATGCAGAGCTGCCGGCTCTGAGCGATTTACAGTTACTCCTGAATTTCACATGGGACTAACAATGCTGGGGGTAAGGGAGGACAACATATATCATTAAATCACACACATTTCGTAGTCGACAGAGTTTGGTTGTCTGTAAGGTCCAGACGTGTTCTGGCAGCATTCCTTTTTTTCGGCGTCACTTGATGTCGTCAGCGTTGTCTCAGTCGCAGCGCACCACTGCCACCGTCTGGCCGAATGGCCTATTGCAGGCTTTTCTTCAACGCTGTGTAGACCTTTCTCAGCTTTCGGATCTTACTCGCAGAACATCCGATTGGCTAACACAACTCCCACTGGGGGGGGGGGTTTAGTGTGCCCACTCTCTCTAAGGAGTGGTACCCATTTTATCTACTCGCTGAAGCTTTCGAACCGCTGGGTGGACGGCGAGCTACGGACACAGACTGGCAGCTCACACCAGTGCGGGGCTCGAACTGACAGCAGTCCTGTTCAGCTCAGCTGTTTAACCAGAGGATAAATCCCCTGTGCCACCGCTCCCCTTCCATTACACACTTTTGGGTATCTGCATGAGGGTGAGCCCAATTATTTTAGGAATATTGGTAGATTATCCATGGATCCCTTCATCTCTCCAGTATTATTCTGTTTTGTTGGCTTCTATGCTTGGCATTTATGTTCCCGAACTCATTTAACATTAGATAAATTGGATCTAGGATGTTTTTCAAACCGAATAACATCACATCTAGTCTGTAGGAGTAAATTACATTGATTCTTTTTGTTTGTTTCTTTGTTTGTTTCCCTGCACACAGCATTGTCAGGTAACGAAGGCTACATACTAAATGGAGACTATGTTGTCAGCATGTTTAAAAAGGAGATCAAAGTTGGAAATGCTGTGATAGAATACAGTGGCTCGGACTCTTACATTGAACGAATCAATTCTACATACCGTATTGATCAAGAAATAGTTCTTCAGGTTAAAAATACATATATTTTTTAAGCACACGTTACAGATAACACTGTGCTAATTTTGATTTGGGGGGGTAGAGAAAGCAGCCTAGGTTTGCAGTGCATTTTATGCTTTTCTGTAATTCTCCCTCTCAGGTTTTATCGGTGGGTAATTTATATAACCCTGATGTTCGATACACATTCAATATCCCCATTGAAGATAAACCTCAGCAGTTTTATTGGAATATCTATGGCCCTTGGCAGCCCTGCAGTAAAGTGTGCCAAGGTATGTGGCTTTAGGGTTTCTTACATCATTTGTTTTATTTATCGGTTTATCTTGGATTCTGGCAGTGATGACAAATGTGTTTCTTTTGTCTGTGTTTAACTTCTGATATAATTCAAGTGTTATGGTTCCCCAAGAGTTGTTACAGTGGAATGATGTATGCTGTCTTCTAAGTCACTTGATAATGCCGGGCCCTTGCTTAGCACTTTAAGCAAACTGACGGGAGCTCAGGGCTGACCACTCCGGCTCCTTTCCTGCCTGTGCTCAAGGCACATAGGTAGCCAACAAATGTGTCCAGCAGTTGTGCTTATATCCATTTGGAAGGAGGCATGCACGGAACAGCTCCCAACAAGATGGGGAACATATGCAGCATGTCAGTTTGGTATTTATTTTATTGCCCACCAACACAATTCCTGGTGTCCACCCAGTGTTTTTAGAAAGTGAGCGGGACCAGGTGGGACTTTTGCCCCCAAAGGCTTCTAATTGGCCATTGGAGATATGATTGACTGCGGTTTTTTAAAAACATTGCTTTGGCAGCAGACACCATCCAAGCACAGGGGTCTTCACTGTGTGACTGAAGGTAAGTTGCTGCAGCCATTTTGTGGCTTCACCCATGGCACAGTGTCAGAATTCCAAAGATACCCTTACCCAAGGGCTCAAAAAGGGTGGGGACCCCTGCTTTAGAGTATCAGAAGTTGCATTTCTGTCCTGGCAATCAGACTTTCAAGCTATTCAAGCTATTTCAAGTGAGGGTTACAATCTTGATGCAAAATAGGAATGAATGATGGGTTTCAAACATGAAATCAAACATGAACAAGAGCAAAGGACTGGATACCCAAGTACTTCCTGTTCTTCCTGCATTCTATAAAATTGCAACCAGTGTTCCATCTAAGCTGAGTTAGTGTGAGCTAGCTCACAGTTTTTTAGCCTCTGGCTCACACATTTTTGTCTTGGCTCAGGAAGGAGGGCTCCAGAGCAAACTCATTTATGCCGTAGCCAAATCCCTCACTCACAACTTTAATGCCAGTAGCTCACAAAGTAGAATTCTTGCTCACAGGACTCCACAGCGTAGAGGGACCATGGCAGGTTTACTAGGTCCAAGAACATTTCCTGAACCACACTAGCTCTCACTCTGAAGTCAGAGTGCAGGTGTAGGAGAGCATAATTGGAAAATCATGATTTGAAATGAAGAAGTACTAGCAATGGTATTAAACTGTATGAGTAACCTAGCAGGGTTGGAACGAATTTGGCACAGAAAACGTTTTCTCCCCAAATAAATCTTTTGGTAATATGTGGAGGACCATCTTATAGGGTAGGTGAGGATTTAATAGCTTACTTATCGTTTTCAGCTCAGTAATTCTGTGAATCTCATTTCGAAGGATGCAGATCCTATGTTAATGTTGCAACTGAGATTATTACATAGGTATGTGTGCTTCCCTGGCTCTCTCTAAGACAAAGGTTTCCCATACTTTTGAAAACACCTTGTTCACAGGTACTTTCTTGTTCAGTCCATACCCCCCCCCCCCCCCAATAGCTCAAATCCAATAGGAGACCAAGCAAAGTCACACTGGCCTGGCAGAAGAAGTCACTACTAAGCTAATACATTTCTATACAGCCAGGTATACAGTGACTTCATTCTGGAAACAAGGCATGATTTACCTGCAGATGATCTGTATTTCACATCAGTCTTATGGAACTTTAGAGGCTGTTAGATTTATTGTGACACGTGAAAACTTATGCCAGAGCAAATCTGTTAAGCATCATAATTGTTTATGCTACAATAAATCTGATAGTCCTTTTTTGATGGAGCATAAAGTGCCACATGATGCTTTTTATTTTTATTTTTTTCCCAACAGGATCCCTTTGTTACTGAGAATCAAAAACAAAATTCCTAGCCAGAAAGTGAGGCCAACATGATCAGAGGAGATGTAACCAAAGGGTTGGATCCAGCCAGCATTTTCACTCCATCCTGCCCAATTCCCCTCCTTATGGGAGTCACTGTCCCACATGACTTTTGCCCATGCATGATCCTAAGAATAGCACTTTTGATAGTCAGAGGGGAAATCGTGTGAAGCTCCACTTTGCTATATACCCATCCTACTTTTTTTTTCCCTTTAGGGGAACGAAAAAGGAAACTTATTTGCACCCGAGAATCTGACCAACTCATGGTGTCTGACCAAAGATGTGTTGGAATTCCCCAACCTGATCCAGTGGCTGAGCAGTGTAACACAAACTGTGAATTAAGGTACTGTCATAATCAGTCCTCTATATATCTTGCCTTGTATCGTCTAGGCCTGACTTTTTAAAAAAATCTCTGTTTTTATAACTCTGGTTTTATGCCACATGCTAAACAATCAAAGTGTACAGTAATGTGGAGGTGGATTCCGTTTGTCCTGTAGAGAGGCCAGTTCATTGTCTGACCAAGGGAGACAGTGTGCCTTGGCTTAAGGACAGATACTTGCTGTTCTCACTTTCCTTCACATCTCAGGAAATTAACACAAAGGTTAAGGAAAATGCTCTTCTTTAAAACAGTGAGAAAATGGAAGTTAGCAAGAACGTGTATGGGGTCTTGTGGTAGGGTTGCCAAATCGACTTACCTCTGCGGCGGGGGACTTTGTGCTGGCTCCCGGCAGCATGCACGTCACAGGGAAGTGACGTCATGATGCCGGGGACGCTGGGGGCGGGGTACAGCCATTTGAGTGGAAAACATAGCGTTTTCCCCTCAAATGGCTGTGCCTCTGCCCCAGTGTGCCCGGCGTCATGCACGCGGGGGTGGGGTTTCCCCCGAGGGCCGATTCTGCGGGAGCGGAAATCGGACCTCCAAAGCTCGGGGAAATCCGCCCCCGGGGGGATTTGGCAGCCCTATCTTGTGGTGATTATTGAGCTGTATTGTACCACCTTTTCCCGCACTGTGGTTGAGAGCTAGTGTGATGTAGTGGTTAAAGTGTTGGACTAGGATCTGGGAGACCCAGGTTTGAATCACCACTCTGCCCCATAAGCTTCACTGGGTGATCTTGGACCAGTCACAGACTCTCACCAGTGTTCCCTCTAAGCTGAGTTAGCTCACAGTTTTTTAGCTTCTGACTCACATGTTTTTGTCTTAGCTCAGGAAGGATGGCTCCAGAGCAAACTAATTTATGCAGTAGCCAAACCGCTCGCTCACAACTTTAATGCTAGTAGCTCACAAAGTAGAATTTTTGCTCACAAGACTCCACAGCTTAGAGAGAGCATTGACTCTCACCCTAACATGTTTCACAGGGTTGTTGTGGGGATGACATGGAGATAAGGTGGGAGATAATTGAAGTAAATCAAATAAATAAATATATCTACTTCATGGTTTGCCTGGAGTGGATGTCTATTTGTGTAGGGGGGAAGGTGCATGAGAAAAGAATTAAACTGCATCTGCTAGCACTGTGGCTGTGGTACACAAAACATACACCAGCTGCTTTTTAGAACCAGAAAGACAGAAGCTCCTGTATAATATGTAGTTTGGCCCTAAAGGTGCCAGTAGGCAATGGTTATGTGTATGGTTATCTCCTCTTAGTCATAGGCAGGGTTGGGGTACCAGCATATTAAAGGAAGGGGTTTACAGATATACAATTTCTAGAAATTTTGAAGTCTTTGATAACAACTGGGAACAGGCCACGTTTTTGTTGTTGGTGGTGGAAGTGGTGGTGGGTGTTTTTGGGAGGGGGGGAAACAAATATTGGGACAAACTGAAATATATACAATGCTTAATTTCCTCTCAAACCTAAACATGTTTTCCTGCTTTAACACAAAGTGCCTTATTTATAACTTAGAACATGAAAATTCCATAAATATGCCAATTAGTAAAATTTATGTACACAAAACAGCAAACGCGCCCAATACTAAAGTGAGAGAGAGCTGCATACTTTTGCGTACTGTGTTATCATAGGACTAATCATGCATGCCAAACGGGGAAAAAAGTATTTGATAGAAGTTTTTTTCAGCACTCCCCAAATGTCCCCATTTTCCAGTAGAAAAACTGTAAAAAGAATCCTCATAACGTTTTCATACTATACATTTTGAGTGAATAAAACCTTGTCTTTAAAAGCATTTCACTGACTTCAGATAAAAAGAATATTTCATAGGAGGTTGGGGTTTTTTTTGTGTGTAAGCCACCAGTTTGGGAGGGGGAATTGGTTCTTTTTCCCCCAGGCCTTACCATCTCTGGAGGGATTATCCAGTATCTCAGACTGGCCTTTGCAGGCTAACAGGTGATAAGTTTTTGTTGGAACTTGTAGTTAATCTTATCATACAAAAAAAAAACATTTTAAAAATCAGTCCCTTTTATCCTCTTTTCCTACACTTAGTTCTGTGACAAAGAAACAGATTCTTCACAGAACAGAAAAGAAGCACAGGGGGGGTCAACAGTGGGAGGGCTTCTAATGTCCTGGCCCCACTGCTGGACCTCCTGATGGCATTGGTATTTCTGGCCACTGTGTGACCCAGAGTGTTGGACTGGATGGGCCTTTGGCCTGATCCAACATTGGCGTCTCTTATGTTCTTATGTAAGCAATATATCCTGGAAATCCTGCACAACCATACTGATTTTCATTTTTACACACACCTACATATGTGGCTGGGAAAGAATATTCTTGTAGCACAAGCCAAGTGACCAGGTGCTATTTGCCCTCAAGCCTTCTGTGGCGGGGAACAAGCGAGACATCTTCTTTACACATCCATCTACACAGGGGCTTGTATATACATATTGCAGATGTGCAGTCAGGATTCGGAGATATTTTGAATTCACCAAATTATTCCATATTCCAGTACGGTTGCCAGGTCCTTACCTGCTGCCAGCAGGTGGATTTGGGGGATGTTCCAGGGGTGGGCAAGGACATCATTGGCTCGATGATGTTACTTCTGGAAGTGACATCATCACGTCAGTGACGCTGGGGCAATGCTCTTCTTTTTGGGTAAAACTCTATAGTCAAATTGGCTACAACCCATAGAGTTTTGGCAAAAAAGTAGAGTGTGGCCCACAGCGTTGCCGACACGATGATGTCACTTCTGGAAGTGACATCACCATGTTGATGATGTCACCAAGGGATGTATTTTTGGAGATGACATTTCCCCCAATGGCCAGCAGTGGGCCCGAGCCCAAAAAGTGGGGAATCCCCCGCCCCCACGTGGGGGCTGGCAAACCTGTATTCCAAATATTCTGAAAGTTTGCAAATTTTGTAATTCCAGATACTCAAAATCATACTGATTTACAAAAATTATGTAGGGCTTTCTGAGAAATGAAAGTAAAACAGTCCTCAGACAGCCATGCATCAAAGTTAGTAAAAGCAGAGAGTGCAGTGTTGCCTAAATGGTTTTGCCAGGAGAGGAGGGGACTGGAATGAAAGCAAAGCCTGCGATTGAAGTCTGCCTACTCTTAGGGAATCATGAAACAAGCACGGTCAAGAGAAAGCACTTTCACAATAGTTCTTTACAACTGAAAGGTGGGCTTTGTAATGTAACTGTTTTATTATCCGCCTGCTGACTTTTGTATTTGCTATTAAGTGTGCTGTGACAACCTTCCCTGTGTTGTATCCAAAGCTGTTTAGGACAGTTCTCCACCCTTCCACTTCCAGCTGCCCACTGTTCCAGTCTGCTTGCTAGTGCTGCCCAGGGTATTTGCCTGCTCCCCCCAGCACCAGCTTGTCCTCTGCTGGACTGTGACATGCCCAGTGTTGCCCTGGTGATGCATTGTTCAATGTTCTGAATGCCCAGATTGGAGTCATTGGCCAATGCTGGGAATTGTGGCTGTTCCTGTGTACATGCCAGGACCACTCAGCATTTGGGATTCATACAGGCACTGGAAAAGGGCCAGGGGGCTGAGGGAAACATTTTTTTTTTAGTGGCTGAGCTTGTTTTTATTGGGCAATGGCTGTTTCCTATTGACTTTAATGGAGTCCTGAATATTCAGACATTCCAGATTTTTTTTAAAAAAATCTGAATTTGAATTTTGATAACAGTCCACATCATTAATACAGATACACACGACATCACTACCTTTAAACCACAGGGACAGCGTGGTTCTTATGAGTAAAGTTCCCTTGGAGGGTAGAGTCATGGTCAGGAGCAAGCTGACTGAGCCCCAGCAACAGTGGGAACCACTTTGTTGGATCTGGGCCATGCCAGTAGGGAGAAAACAAGGGGTCCACCTACACCTGTTATTGTTATTCCATCTGATCAAATTGGAGCTGGAATGCTCTTGTGAGATTGCAGGGCTACTCCTCTTGGCTTTACTCTGGGCTTTTTAAAAACATCCCAGTGATGATTTCCTGTACTGCCCCTCAAGTGGGGAACAAGGTACCTGGTTCAAAAAGGAGGGGCTACAGCTCAGTGGTAGAGAATCTTGTTTGCATGCAGAAGGTCCCAGGTTCTATCCCTGGCATCTCCAGTTATAAGGATTAGGGAGCAGGTGATGGGGGAAATCTCTTGTCTAAGCACCCTAGAGAGCTGCTGCCAGTTGGATGGACCAGTGGTCTGTCTGTAACGCTGCATTATGTCATAGCAGACTAGCTATGTTTTCCTTTACTGTTCTGTGCAAGAAAGGAACAGGCTAAGAATCCAGCTAGTATGGCCAAAGGTAAACTCAGCTGGGAGAAAAATACATGATGGAGAGCACTGGGCTTGGAGATGATTTAGCTTCCATTGCTGGCATCCCCCTCTTTCTCAAGAAGTTAGTCTGGCTGCATCCACACTTTACTTTCAGAATGGAGGACTGCTTTTGGAGTATCCACCCAGTGTCACCTGATCATTCATTTGGCAGGTTTTCTCCATCCTCAGCACACGTTTACTCAAACAAGCATCTTAGCATTCCATCGAGATGGCAAAGTTAATAGTCTAAGGTCACACCCACATGGACACTATTAGCCATATGTCAGCTGTTTGTTACCTGTCCACCAGAGATATTTTGTGGGCTTTTTTGAATAATTGGTAATTGCTATAATGCTATAGCAATCACTTTTTTTTAAAGCCCCCTTTCAGTGGCATGGCAGGGAAAAATGCAGGGAAGAGGGTGGCTGATGAAGGGAACGTGTCCTAAAAACCCCACGTGGACATGCTGTTTCTAGTGTATTCGCCTGTGTATTCGCAGTGTCACACGGGCCTTTGTTTTAACCAGAATGCCATCAAGTGTTGTTTGAGCCTTAAAAGTAAGAGAAATTCCCCTTCATCTCACAACTCAGAATGTTCAAATATTACTTACCAAAATCTTGCACTGATTTACCC